GTAGAATTTCTTATATACAAGTGAATTTTTTTAAACAGATCTGTTTATCTAAATGGGTGAAATGTAACAATTTTCCTGTTTATAGTGGAGTTATGTTTTATGCCTTCCTTCCTTCATTATGCTGAACTCTTAGGTTGGTCATGTTGAGCTCTTAGGTTGACTGGGCACAATGAATAAGATTTAATTTTTTTAAACATTAGGTAATCAGTAACGAAACCTGTTTATTATTAAACTCTCGCAGTTTATTATGAAGATTGTTGTGCCCTGCAAATATATCCGTATTGGTAGACATGAAAACCTGCATGATATGTAGATGCTGGTAATATCTACATTGCCTACTATGAGCTTTGCAAAGTATGTGGGAAACATAAAAACCCTTAAAGGAGAACTATGGGGTTAAGGCTTTTCACCATAGTTCTCCTTGGGGTAACGGGAGGACACAAACTAGCGTCCTCCCCGTTACCCTAGGCTCAGTATACTGCGAGCTGTAGCTCGCGGTATACTGAGACACCGCTGCTGAAGCGGCCGGGATCCGCCCAGCTGCGTGTCTGACAGCTGACTCTGCCTATCTAGAGGCAGAGCCAGCTGTACCGGCCCCCTCCCCCGTCCGTTCCGCCAGTCAGCGCTGGCGGATCAGAGCGGGGAGGGGGGAATCCAGCCCTTCCCCTGTCACGGCAGAGAGCCGTGACAGGATCGAGAGGTGAGCGAACGCCGGTATGTGCTCGCTCACCTCCCGATCTACTGAGCCGACCTGTGACAGTCTCAGTGAAAAGCACTCACCTCATAGTTCTCCTTTAATTATAATCAGATGCAAAAACGTCTGGCTGCTTTCACTCCATCTCCTCCGTTGATCATGATCAGGGCTTGAAAAATTTAGGGTTTCTCACCAGTCAGTCAAAAATGTCACCAGTCAGCATGACCAGACTATAGCCTTGCAATTTATGTTAACATTTTTTGGGGGACAGATGGCGCTTTCTTTTGGTGGTATATAATCACCACTGGGGTTTTTTATTTTTTACTATATAATGAAAAAAATACCGTAAGTTTATTTGCACCCAACGCATGTTTGTATGTGGGTGCGGGGGACTTGGAAACAATTTTTGTGTGGTTTTTACAATTTTTTTTTTTTATATACTTCTTTAATAATTTTTTTTTTTTTATTTCTCCTTCTTTTTTTTTTTTTTTTTACACTTATCAATAAAGTTATCACATAGAGGGCTAAGAAGCTCCCTATGTGATAGCCAATTTACATGACAGGTCCTCTTTATGGAGACATCACTGGTCTCCAAGACCCCTAATGTCATCTAGGGACCCCCGAGAAGCTGACGAAGCAGAGATCTGCTTCACCAGCTTCTCCCCAGCTTCTGTAGCCGGGAATGACAGCTGAATGTGGAAGTGATGTAATATACATCACTTCCCGCATTCGGGGACCTGAGAGGAGATCGGAGGGAGATTGTGTACCGAACTTCCTTTGATCTCCTGTCACAGAGCAGCCGTGCCGGTCCCGGGCACAGCAGATCTCGGGACCGGAAACAGCAGTAACTGCGGGGTGGAGGGAGGGGGTAAAACCGCAGCTAATATGAATTGTAAAGCTCTCGGCCGGCCGATTTAATTACAACAGCCGGCCGGGAAGCTACTCGTCAGACTCCAGCATCCTCTCGTCACAGACGAGAGGACGAGTGGATTTTTCAAGCCCTGATCATGGTACTAAATATAGTGCTGAACCAGTATTTTTTCCTCCTCGCCAGGCTTGGGCTTTAAAGATTTCTGTGTCTGTAAGTTGAATGTCAGCCATAACTTCTTAATTTTTAAAAAATTATTCTTATGTCCCCATTGAGGAGATTTTCCCACACTTGGTGATCCATAAAAATCTATAATCTATAAAAAAGTTTAAAAATCTTAGAGAGGACCAGGGGTGTTGCTTTTGGGTACCCTGCTGAGAGAAAGGGTGAATGGTGCAAATAGCCACATCACATGTAATGGGCATGGATTAAATGGGCGGTGTAAAGCTTGGGTCTACATTCTGTATACACTAAGCATGCATGCAACAGTTCTTGTACCCCCAAAATGCAGTATATTACATTGTAAAGGGATAAAACCAGAATATGAGACACAGTTTTAAGCTTTACCTATAGTGCCACCTGCAGATCAACCTCAAACAGGTGAATACAGTTCTCAATTTCTTTGCTTTGTAAAGATTGGGATTTTGCACAGTAGAATGTTTGTATTGCGTTTCTTTTCCCTAGATGATCTCATACAAATAAAGTTGGTAATAATGTTCGTAATATTTGCAACACCAAAAAATGAAATGATGAAGTGTGGCAAGTATTCTGGAGTGTCTCATTTTTCAATCACTTCCATTTCCTCAAATACTAGGAGAATAGGGGGAATTTCTCATGTGTCCAAGGCTTAAAGTTGTAATTTGGTGTTCAATATTATAATGACATTTTCAGAGTAGTAATTATATCTTGGTATGGCTGATAAACATGACCTGCCCCAACTGTCTTACAGATCTCTTCCCAGGTTGTGTAGGAGGACTGCCGGCAGCATAATCCTGGGTGTTGGTCATTTTAGAATATATTAGTCACCTTAATTCCTACCTTACTGGAGACAAAATGTTTCATTTTCTCAGCTGTGATGTTTTTGTTCTTTTTTTTTTTTCTCCCTTTCAAAAGGGAACCTTCTTTTATTTTTTACTGTTTTGGCATTTGGGTAAAAGGTACTACTCAGGGCACGTTCACCCATGCATTCTTTCTGACGTTCCACTTAGGCTAGACCAGGGGTACGCAACCTTGGCTCTCCAGCTGTGCTGAAACTACAAATGCCATCATGCTTCTGCCTCTGGGAGTCGTGCCTGTGGCTTGCAATGCCTTATGGGATTTGTGGTTTCAGCACAGCTGGATAGCCAAGGTTGTCTACCCCTGGGCTAGACCTACATACCGTTTCACGTTCCTGAGAGGACTAGAGAATAAACGCTAAAAGAAGCAATTAATAGCCAAACCTATGGAACCGGTAGCTCCCTATGGAGTAAGCTGCACAGGTAGCACATATCGGTGATCAGTTGCACATTTTGCGGTCATGCAAGATTATTTGCTACCATATGCCACCTATTTATTAGATTCCATAGAGATCAATTTCTGCTCCTGACGATTAATCGCCAGCGATTTTAGTAGTATGGTTTAACCACAACATTTCTGTGCACTAAATGGTGTCGGCATTGCCCAGTTGTCTTTTGCCACACTGCTGAATCTCTCCCACTGTTTTTATCGCATAATTGGGGTCTTATACTGTAGTCCAAGATAAGAACTGGGAGGGCTAATTACCCTCAATGCGATAACAGAGGAAGTGTGCACAGGAACACAGGACTGCTATAAATTTCTGACAAGATCAACAGATATTATATTATATATATATATATAATATATATATATATTCTTTCTTT